CCACTTGAACAGGATGGAGTGCAGGAGATTTTGTCAATTATCATTGACAGGAACACCTCGGATGCTGACCTCCAGAGGATAATGACTACTCTTTGGTATATTTGGAAAGCAAGAAATGATGTTCATTTCCAAAGGAAAAAATGGTCTATTTTGCAGGTACATCATGCAGTAGAGGCTGAGATTGAAGTTGCAGCTGTCTGCCTCCAAATGGATACTACCAAAGCTACAGCAAAGAGCACTCGAGACACTGGCAACACAAATACTTTGCAAACAACAAATCTTTTATTTGCAGGTACACGCAATGAAGAAGAACATGCACAGATGCCCCCTCCCCAAGATGATTTCAGATTGGGCTTGCCCAATAACAGAACTGCTTGCAGATTCCCAATTCTACTCCCAGGGGTCAAATGCTACACTGATGCCTCCGTAATCCCAGACACGGTGAACTCCAACCCAAGGAATGTTGAGTTGTGATCCAAATTCAGTTATATACAAGATAAAGGCTAACTTTTACCGGAGCAAAGCGAGGCCCGTCGTCGGGAGGCTGGGGCCGAAGCGAAGCGAAGGCTGAAGTTAGCCCATTATGTTTCCCTACCATGCCTCGGGGGGGCGGAGCCCCCCGTGGTATGGATCGTCGCCTATTAGGGTTTTCCATTTATATATACTTCCTGTAAGCCGTCGTCTTGGGATAAGAAAAGTTGTAAATCCCCGACGTTTGTAACCTCACCCGATATAATGAAGAATTACTGGCTGGTGCCCGTGGTTTTTTTTCTTCTTCCTTGAAAGGGTTTTCCACGTTAAAATCTTATGTCCCCTGTGTTTTGATCTATTGTTCTTCGTCGTTTATATTGCCTATCATTTCTAACAAGGAAAGCGGGTATAGGAATATTCATCCTAGACCAAGCCTATCAATCTAAGTTCCTTATTAAGGCTCATATTAACCAAATTACTTCGGTCCTCATGGCTGAAGCAGCTAGTCTTCCTCTTGCTGCTTCCATTATCTCTTTGCTTCACACTCAGGATACTTCATTCCTCACCGATAGCCAGCTCCTTGTCAATTTCTTCAATGGTAACGACCTCAACTCACCTCCTCATTGGGATATCAAACCTTTCACCCAGAGATTCCTAAATGCTGTAACCAGTAGGAGAGTCCAGGTCATAAAGATTGCAAGGAGTTCAAATATCACGGCTCATTCATCGGCTACTCAAGCTCTTAGGGCATGTACAACCCACAGGCGGCTTGCTATCTGTATGATGACGTCGTACTACATACAGACAGCTAAACATACAGCGTGTATAGTGGGTTGTCTGTTTAGTTGTCTGTTAATTATTTAATGCCTGCATGTAGTCATGATCAAGCCTAAATATGATTCATGTATACCATTGTGTTGCTTGTTGATAAAAAAAGATTAAGCATAAATAAGACAACCATTGCTACAAAAGATCAAGCATAAACAAATTAGAAATATATTAAAAATAGATGGAAAGTAAAGAAAAAACAATGACAAAAAACAAAAGTATATGAAAATACCATATTGCTCTATATCTTCCTATCATCTACCTCTACTCACTCGTGACCGTGTGGTTCTTATCTCCGTTTTTTTCTCTTCCTATCTCTTCTGTATTCTCTCTAGCGTCTTCTTCATCATGGTGAGACAAAATTCCAGTGCTCGGCCTTGCTTGAGCAGTGCGGCGAGCTCCCCGCACCGGCCTTGAAGTCGGCGAATCCTCGCTCCTCGGCCTGCGTACAAGTACCGCCGACGAGCTCGCGGCCACTCACCGCCTCCGAATAGTCACTTCGCCAAGCTACAGGTGGCGTCGCTCATCAGAAAGAGCTACACCATCACGCGCCTAGACCTTGCCTCCCTCGACAGCGTGCAGCAGTTCGTGGACAGCTTCCGTCGCGCAGGGATGCCGCTCGACTCGCTCATCCGCAACCCACCATCTACCGCACTCAATCCTGAGAATTTGGCGCTCGGAGTCGACGACTCATACAACGCGCGGCGAAGGCGTCAGTTTGGCGTGGGAGCACGGGCCGATGCCGTCGTTTCACCAGACGACGGCTTGCATCTCTCTCTTCTTTGAATGCAGTTCGCGAGGGAGTATTTTGCAAAAATTACATCATACAAACGGCACTTGGAATCCCGTTGTACATGCCCTTAGGCATTCTGACGATCAATGTAATCTTTTCAGGATTACTTGTTCCAATGTAAATCATGCTAGCAGTTGCCCTCTCAGTATGGCACTGCAGTCTGTAATTTGGGATTCTTATTCTCTCATTGCAGCTACTTGCTGCTAATAATAAAGGTTGCTTTTGTCAAAAAAAAAAACCCCCCGCAAGCCGAGCAGAGCAGAACAGCCAATCCGGTCAGCAAAGACAGCACCTGTTCAAAGCAGAACAGCCAACCCGGCCGCGCGTGCTTGCGGTGCGTTTCCTGCATAATAAAAACCGCCTCGCCCGGGCCGGAGGCCGGCGCAAGTGGGTCAACTCGGCAACTCGCAACCGCAGACCAGAGCACGGGGCCGGCTTCCCGGAGTCCGGAAGCGCCCAGGCGCCGCCGTCACTGTCGCCACCGCACCCGGCTCGCCCGCGTCCACAAAAGCCGCCAGGGCCCGTACGCCGATGGATCCTGCCGCGACGGCGGATCCCGGCTGCTCCAGCTCCCCAACCCCCACGCTGCGGAAGCGGACGATCTCTATAGACACGTCGCGACGAGAGGAGGCAACGGCGCGTCGCGGGAGACCGCGCCCAGGCCAGAGCGGGAGGAGCAGCAGCAGGTGGAGGGCTCGATGGCGGTGTCCGCGCCGGCGGAGGAGACGGTGGCAGCGAGGAGGAGGGACCTGGAGGCGGCGGGCGAGCCGATGAGCCCCGCGGGGCGGCTGTTCCGGATAAAGTTGGCCATGCAGCCCGCGGCCAGTCGGCCCGGCCCATGGCCCGACACGGGCCCGGCCCGGTGCAAAGAGGCGGCCCGGTGGCGGCCCGGTGCCCCCAACGGCTTCATTTGGCCCAGCAAGGGAGGCAGCCCACGAAGCCAGCCCACCCCGCCGCATATATAAGCCGCTGCCCGCTGCCTCCCTCTCCATCCCTAACCCTAAGTCCCTAATCCCCATTCCTCCCCCGCCGCGCCGTCTGCTCTCGCTCGCTGCCTCGCTCTCGCTCTCGCATTCGCGATCCACCGCCGCCGCCGCTCTCCATCGACCATCGTCGTCCGTCCTCTCTGGCACCGGTGACCTCGCCGGCGCTCCTCCACCTCGCACTGAGTTCGCTAACCCCGTCTCCTCCCTCCTTTTCCTCTCCTGTTTCCTCTCGCTCTCGCTCGGAATCGGTGAACCATGTGAGTTCGTGTTCATGTCACTCCTTCCTCCCCCACCTCGCCGTCGATTCTAATCGGTGTCTATCTCATTATCTGGCTGGCTCGCTGGCTTCTTCATCTCCGGCACCGGGCTCCGGAAAAGCAGGTTCGTCACTTTCCCTAACCCTAGATCTGCTCTTCTCTGCTCTGTCTCTCTCTGATCTCTGTCTCTCAAGTGTCATCTCTCACTCTTCTTCTTCTTTGCGTGCAGGTTGGTGCCTGACGCCGCGTCTTCCTCCTCTAGAGTAGACATGGCCAGGCCGCCAAAGCGCCCGTTGAGGGACGGTGCTGGAGCTGCTGGATTGTGATTGAGTTCTGAGTTGTGAGTTTGAGACTTGTGTCTTGTGAGTTTGAATTGTGATTATGAAATGTGAATCCTGTGGTTTAGAATTCTGAGAATATGAGTTTTGAATCTGATGTGAATCTGGTGGTTTTGAATCTCTGAGTTGTGAATCTGGTGGTAAAATCATGTTGAAAATGATCAAGTCCTTAAAGACTTAGTTATTTTTGCAGCCAGGCTATGGCCCGGCACGGCCCGGTGAGGCCAGGCACAAGCACGCCATAGGCACGGCACGGCCGGCCCGGTGGCCCGGTGAGGCACGACACCGCGTCGGGCCGGCACGGCCCGATGGCCATCTATAGTTCCGGGAGAAGCACTTCAACTGCTACATCGTGGCCGTGATCGTGCTGGGCACGGCGGTGGACGTCGCGGCGGCGCGCGCGGGGCTGGAGGCCACGCTCGTCCGCCACCCGCGCTTCTCCAGCATCCAGGTACGCCCTCCCCGCTCGCACCTCGCCTCAGGAATGGTTTCCTCGGCTGATGCCGAATTTGGTCTGTTTTTCGTTTGCTTGCGCTCTCGGCTCCCCTACCAAACCCGGCCAAAGGGCCGAGAGGGAAAGCGAGAGGACATGGCCGTTGACCTCAGCCACGACGCTGGCACGCGGGACGGGGCATGGTGCACGGGCCACGTCTGCACCACCTTGCGGCACCGCCCGGCCCTTGTCCGCTCCGCAAGGTCTCTACTCTAGGATAGCAAACGGCAAGCGAGCTTCGTGCATTTGCCTGTCTGTGACTCCGGGCAAAGAATAGTTTGGCTCTGATCAGGATACCGCCAGACAGGCTCATTGTCCTTGGCATCTGATGCTTGAGGTGACTGGTGCGGTGGTACTAAAAATCAAGTACTCGTAGTTGATGCTGCACGCCTGCACATGTTCTCTTGCCTTTTTTAGCTACGTTGTTTGTCCTTGGCTTCTGATATTTGTCGTGTTTTTTTAAACTTTGTTGGGCATAGAACCAGAGCTGAGAAATCTACACATCTCTCGTTAAGAAATTGAATCACACTTAACCAAAATCTGTTCAAGTCTTGTACGTTTTTATTATTTGAGAGCAATTTATATCCTTGTTTGCCCTAGTTTAGCCAATATAACGTCGGAACATCCTTATCTCTGCCTCAATAACATCCATCAAAACTCAAAACCATGACGCAAAGCAACTTGCACTGTGGTTATAAAAAATTGGCTACGATTTTGCGTCCGGAGACAGACCTGATTTTTATGCTCTACTAGAAATGTACTGTAGACGATTGGTTCCCAACAACGCAACAAACCTGGTGCAGTGCGAAGGAATGACTGGAAAAGACCGACCAGATGGTGGTAATAAGGCCCTGTTTAGTTCTCAAAAATTTTCAACCCAAAATGTCACATCGAATCTTGTGGCACATGCACGGAGCATTAAATGTAGACGAAAAAAAACTAATTACACAGTTTGGTTGGAAATCGCGAGACGAATCTTTTAAGCCTAATTAGTCCATGAAAAGTCTTAAGTGCTACAGTAACTCACATGTGCTAATAACCGATTAATTAGTATCATTAGATTCGTCTTGCAGTTTCCTAATGGGTTCTGTAATTTGTTTTTTTTATTAGTATCCAAAAACCCCTTTCGACATCTTTCCGACACATCCGATGTGACACCAAAAAATTTCACCTCACCAACTAAACACCCCCTAAGTACTAGTACATTCCATTTCATCGACGTGTCCGTCAGTCCATGGTTAATGTGATGTTCTCCAAATTTCCACTCAGATCTGTTCAAAAAGGATATGCAGCCTGTTCGGCTAGGCTTATACGATCGAATACGATCGTGGATTATAAGCTAGAACAGTATTTTTCTTCCACACCAAACCAGCCAGCGGTAAATAATCCACGATCGTTTCAGCCGAAACGAGCAGGCTGACGATGTTAACGTGTTCCTGCACTGAAGCTGAAGGTGGTTCTCGGTATGTGACTCTAGCGTCACTGTAGAGTACCCGAACTGCCTGTTCCTTGTTCTCTCTTGTCGGCTTTTGCAGCATAGCAGCTGACTGATGAATACGAAACAAAGAAACGCACACATGCGGCACGCCACTGCAAACCTGAAGATCAATAGTGCCGGGCACAGACTCTGCAAATCTCAAGCCATCGCTACCAATCTACCGGAAACAGATGGTGGACGGCCCTGACCGGGACAAGATCATAAGTGCTGTGCTGTGCAGGACCGCAGTGAAACTAGACGTCCAAACCTAGTGTTGCTGTATCTCCCTTTCCTAACAAATCTTTTCGCCCATAATGTTTTTTGCCACTTGATTGAGGAGCTGGTGATTAGAGATACTACGATATCGATAAAAATTAATGGAGTGGGTCAATTATTAATAAATCTCCCAAAGAATACGGTTGTGTGGAATTATCAATTGATGGGTGAAAACGACCTGTTTTGATCTTGATTCCGCATTTCCGCTGGCAGGTGAAGGATGATGCGAGAAAGAACGCCAAGCCGCGGCCGGTGCGGACCACGGTGAACCTGAACGATCACGTCATCGTCCCCTACCTGGACCCCGCCGCCACGTCGACCAAGCCGGACCAGGCCGTGGAGGACTACCTGTTCTGGCTGTCCACGGCGCCCATGGACCACTCCCGCCCGCTCTGGGAGTTCCACATCCTCGGCTTCCCGACGTCCGAGGCCACCGCCACCGTCGCCATCCGCATGTACCACTCCCTCGGCGACGGCGTCTCGCTGCTGTCGCTGCTCATCGCGTGCACCCGCAGCGCCGCGGACCCGGCGCGGCTGCCGGAGCTGCCGCCCGCGCCGCGCCGCGCGGGCCCCGTCTACGCCCAACGCTCTCTGCGGGCTTCGTGGCTCTCGCGCTGTGGCTGTGGTCCTACGTCGTGCTCGCGTGGCACACGCTGGTGGACGTCGTGTGCTTCGTGGCCACGGCGTGGTTCCTGCGCGACCCGCGCACGCTGTTCATGGCCGCGTCCGAGGGCGTCGAGTTCCGCCACAAGCGCTTCGTGCACCGCACGCTCAGCCTCGACGACGTCAAGTTCGTCAAGAATGCCATGAAGTGTGTAAGAGCTTCTCTTGTTTGCTACTCCTAATTCAGTTCTCATCTTCTAAAGGATTGACCCAAATACATCGTGTGATGGCTTCTGCAGACTGTCAACGATGTCCTTGTTGGAGTGACCAATGCAGGGTTGTCGCGGTATTATTTACGTAAGACCAGTGAGTGTAAACCTGTGATTCCATGCGCATCAATACTAAATCATGTTCCACATTAGCATTCTGCATCTCCGTCGCAACATGCTAAAAACCAGGCTACATTTTATCCTCATATTTCTTGATTTTCGTCGGGTGATACCAACAGCGAGAGGAAAAAATCACAGAGCATTCGCGTCCCATCAGCTCTCCTCGTCAACATTAGGAAAACACCTGGTTTACATGTAATTGTTTCATCTTTTTTTTATGAATATATCAACACTTGGGGCGGCCTTTAATTTAGTATTGTCCTTGGATAATTTATTCTGAACCCGCAATTTGATTTTGAGCAGGCATTGTCGGAAATGATGGATTCTGGCAAGAACAATGGGGCAAAATGGGGGAACCTGATTGGTTACATGATACTACCTTTCCTTATAGCCATGCACGATGATCCTCTTGAATGCATCCGACAAGGGAAAAGGACAGCTGAAAGGAAGAAGGCTTCATTAGAAGCAGTTTTCACGTACTGGAGTGGGAACCTAATAGTCAAACTTTTTGGCATGAAGGTATGATTATCAACATGTTTGCTTTGATTGTTGTTTTTGTTTTACTGGTAGACTTGTGAGGTTTTGGCAGTTCGGTGCAATTCATTTCAAGTTGAAACCAAATCATTTGGATTGTTTAAACTCTAAATCTAAAGAAAAAAAAAACTAAAATTCACAATTGTATGTATTCTCTCTGAAAGGACAAACCACAATTCATAGCCTTGCCATGAACTACTCTAAATTGGCAGGATCACATGACAAGAGTCTGAACGCTGTATTTTTTTTCACCCATACAAGTTACAATAAGTTTTTTTGGCACTTTGTGTTAGGATCGATGTGTGTACCTCTGTGTGTAACCGTAGATCCGGTTAGCCTCCTTGACGCTTCTCTTTGCGGCACAGCAACGTAGACGCCGATGCCGCGGTGTAGTAGGAGTCGTCCAGCGCGGTGGAGAGAAGTCCAGTGGCGCCGGCGGAGAACCTGCAGGCGCGACGGTGGTGGTGGGGCACATCCCGTCGCTGGCAGCACGGTCTTTAGATCGGTTTAGGGTTACTCTAGGTGGGAGTGGCGGCTCACGGCGAACCTCGTAGTTCGAGCCTCGATCCCCACCTTCTCTATTTGTATGTGCTGTGCGACAGGGGCCCACCAACCAGTTAGGGTTGGGCTCCCCCGATCAGGGAGCAGAAGCAAGGGCCTAATAGGCCGTTGGGTCTATTGGTGGAGATCACCTAACATTCTCCCCCTTGATCTCATTCCATCTTTTACTTTCATATCATTTACTTTTGTTCATTCCATTACAGATTAGCTCATAGAGCATGTCTCATCGTCACGGTCTATTGCCGACAGACTTAACAGCTACAACTCACTACTCTGTTCTGAAATAGATACTTATCTTTGTGCCTTCTTTATCTAGGAATTTTAGGCTTTCCCTTAAACCCGCTACATGTTCTCTGAACACTATGTTCTCTGAACATGTTGGGTGGTAAGCCTTTTGTAAGCGGATCCGCGAGCATCTTTTCTGTACTTATATGCTCAAGACTTATGACTTGATCCCAGACTTTATCTTTCACAGCATAATACTCTATGTCAATGTGTTTGGCAGCACCACTTGACTTATGTTGTGAGCATCCTTTACTGCCAGATTATAATCGCAATATAACTTTAGTGGTCTATAGATGTCGTCAACCACCTTCAAACCGGGTATGAACTTCGTTAGTTAGTTTACCTGCCCGTTGCCTCATAACACGCTACAAACTGTCATACATTGTGGACGATGAAATAGCTCCCCTTTGCGAGATGATAGAAAATCTACGTCTGGATATGTATTCACTCTCGCATAATCAGAATCTGAATATCCCACTATGTGGAGTGAATCAGATCTTCTATATGTCATCATGAGGCCTTTTGTTCCTTGTAAATAATGCAAGACTTTTTTTACTAATTTCAGTGTTCTATTCCAGAATTACTCTGGAATCTGCCAAGTAAAATCCGGTAACAAATGCCAAGTCAGGGCGCGTACATACTTGAGCATGTTGCAAGCTTCCGACAACTGAAGCATATGGAACCACTTTTACTTTATCGATTGAGCTCATATTGGTTCCTGGGGCATTTAAAATCCCTATATCTGTCGCCCTTGACTATAGGAGCAGGTGAGGGACTACATTTGTGCATACTGAATTTCTTTAAGATCTTTTTCATGTATGCCTTTTGTGACAGTCATTATACCATTTTTCTTCTATCTCGGTGAATCTCGATCCCTAGAACGAACGAGGCTTTCTCAAGATCTTTCATATCAAGTTTTGAGGACAAAACTTCTTTGTCTCGTGTAGTAGACTGACATCACTACTAGCAAGTAAGATATCATTTACATACAGGATAAGGAAGATAAACTTCCCAATCTTAAACTTTGCATAGACACAATTGTCCTCTACATTCTCTTTAAAACCCAAAATTCTTTATTGACTGATCAAACTTCAAGTACCACTGTCTTGAAGCTTGCTTTAATCCATAAATGAATTTCTTTAGGCGGTATCCCATTCGTTCTTTTCCTTCCATGACAAAACCTTTCGGTTGTGCCATGTAAACATTTTCCTCCAAGTCTCTGTTGAGAAATGCCGTCTTTACATCCATATGATGTAATTCTTAATCGTAATGTGCCACTAATGCCATTATGATTCTGAAGGAAACTTTACATGAGACTGAAGAAAAGGTCTCATTGTAATCAATCCCTTCTCTTTGCATAAAGCCTTTTGCCACAAGTCACACTTTATATGTCTCTATATTCCTTTGAGAGTCATGTTTAGTCTTGTAGACCCATTTATAGCCTACTGTTTTGACTCTTTTAGAAACTATTTTCAAATCCCAAACTTTATTGACATTCATCGATTTCATTTCATCTTCCATGGCCTCAAGCCACTTTGATGAATGATCACTTCTCATGGGCTTCTTCAAATGAGGTGGGATCATCCTCCATTTGAAATTCCTTAGTATTGTACACTTCATAATCAGCAGAAATAGCTGATTTTCTAACTCTTTGACACCTACTAGGGGCCTTCATATTTGGCACATCTTCTATTTGAGGCTGTTGTTGCTCCCCCTCATGTGTGGCAATAGGTTCTATAGGATCCTGAGGAACAGGTTCTTCATCGTCATTCATTGTTGCCACAGGTGGGATAACAACAGGTGCTGGCACCACAGTATCTAGCACTGTCGGTGCAGCTATAGCAGGTAGTGAGAAAAATGGCTCATGAATCATTGGAGTGGGCGCATACACCCGCTTCACTTCAAGATCAATTTCTCGAGCTACCATGCTCCCCTCATCTTTTCATCCTCTAGGAAAACAGCGTGTCTCGTTTTCACAAACTTTGTGTGTCTCTCTGGACAGTAGAAACGAAAACCTTTTGACTTTTCTATGTAGCCAAACAAATGGCAACTTACTGTTTTGGGATATAACTTTCCAATGTTTGGGTTAAACACTTTAGCCTCAGCAGGGCTCCCCCCCACACAAGTGGTTTACTGAGAGCACTCTTTCTGTCCACAACTCATACGGTGTTTTGGGCACCGACTTACTTGATACTCTTTTGAAAGTATGAATGGGGTTTTTAACGCCTCCATCCACAGGCTCAACTGTAAGGTGGAGTAACTTATCATACTGTCCACCATATCCATTAGGGTACGATTGATTCTTTTAGTTACTCTATTCTGCTGAGGTTCGTCCGGTGTAGAATACTGGGCTACTATGTCATTCTTTTAGAGTGTAGAATACTATGCTACTATGCCATTCTTTTAGGGTATGCTGACCGTAGTACTCTTTCACGGTCAGACCTGACTATCTTAATCTTTAATATCTTAAATTTATCCAATACATCTTTTCTTTCTTTGATTGGATAAATATAGCCATAATGGGAGTAATCATCTGTTAATGTTATGAACGAATCATTACCATCCACACTCTTTATAGGAAACTGACCATAGATGTCTGTGTGAATAATCTAAAAGATTCCTGCGCTTCATTTGTCATTTTTCTTAATCTTCTTTATATACTTTTCTTTTATGCATTCTCTGCATTGAACTTAATCTAAGAGCTCTAATGGAGGAAGAATATCATTTTTAACTTGTCTTTCTATTCTCTCCCTCGAAATATGGCCTAAACGATAGTGCCATAATTTCGACGACGCATCATGAGCTCTCTTATGCCACCTTTTTCAGATTAACACTCTGTGACCAGCTGCTTTATCAGCTAAGTGGCATATGTCTTTGAGGAGCCAGTGAACTGACTCTTTATTCTATCGAGGTACTCGGTGACCGTGTCACATTCTGGGATTGAGCCCACAATTGCAGGTTCAATCATGTTCTTTATCACAGCCAAACATTTTTTGTTTGCAGTGACCCACTTCCTATGCTCAAAAGCCATAGGATATCTTTTGGGATTGAAAATCCCTTTCTTTAGTTGCCCAAGTGGCATCATTCTCTTTTGTCTCCCTCACCGGTGCCACAATCTCAGTGGAACACGATGAGGTGACTACCCAGTCCACCTTAGACAAGATGAAAACTAGGTCAAAACTTTTCTTAACATAAAAATAACACCATTTGCATGCCTTGATTCCAACGTTGATCAAAATCAAAACATACAATTATTCTTATATATCAATTCTACATCACCGTTGGGCAGAAATAGAATTAATGCATAAATCTTTAGCTTTCACAACTGTTCTTACACACTAATTCTACATCACCGTTGGACAGAAGTAGAATTAATGCATAAATAACTAAAATTAATATCTGTTCTTATACACTAATTCTACATCACCGTTGGGCAGAAATAGAATTAATGCATAAATCATTAACATTACGATATTGTTATTAACAACGTTGGTCAGAAAACAACATCATAATCATATCTAAACTCTTTTTCTCCAATTAAATACCACATTGATTCAAAATAACTGGAGAATCAACATTTTCTTTAGCAGCGGAAAAAATCTCTTTTTCTCCAATTAAATACCACGTTGGTACAAATTAACCGGAGAATAAACAATTTCTCTAGCTGTGGAAAAACTTCTCCTTTTCTTGAATTTTACTCACAGGGAAAAGTTGTATTTTCTATTTCCTTTAATCCATTAATCAATTTCCAGGAAATAAACATTTACTGGAAATTTTTTTCTTTTCTCCAGTTAAATATCATGTCGGTTCAAAATCAATGGAGAATATACTTTTTCTTTAGCAGCGGAAAACATATGCTCAATTTCTTGAACTTTACCCAATTACTTTTCTATTTTTCTTTTGAGCCAATTTGCATATTCAATTTTCCAGAAAAAATAAAAAACGAAACTGGGCTCTTGCTCTTTACTGTTTCGGCCTGAAACGGCCCACGGCCCACAGCCGCGTGCGCCCTTCCCGCGCGCTCACCCACGCCCAGGCCGCAACCTGGGCCTGGGCCGGGAATTCGGCCTGGCGCGCACACCCGCCTGGGCTGATAGCCGGTCCATTCTTTCATCACCGTCAGATCTCATCCGACGGCTGCGCGGTGAGATCGGGCCGATCAAAAAGGGTGACGGGCACCCTCCCCCGAAAACCCTAATTCATTTGCGCCTCTGCTCTCTCTCTCTCTCTTCGCCGCTCTCCCTCTTCTCTCCTCACACAGCAGCGAAGCGAGCGCAACCGAGAGCGAGCGAAGTCGGTGGAGCAGCGAGCACGGCGCCGTCGTCGGCCCCCTCGCTGGCGTGCGCGTTCCCCAGCGGGTGAGCGCGCCGCCGTCGAGCGGCCTGGCCGCGGCGTCCCCTTGGCCGAGCTCGGCAAAAACCTTCCCGGCTCGGTCTTCTTCTCCCTCGCCGGCGAAACGGTTCGCCCGGTGCACGGCGAGATCTCTTTCCACTCCCTCTTCCCTTTCTCCATTCCCATCCCCTGTTCTTTTCGATTTGGATTGAGTTCTTCTCTTTTCCGAAATGATGTGGGGAATTAGGGTTTGGATCTATGGTTCCTTTTCTTCTTCCCCTTCGGATCTGAGCGGGTCTAGGCCGAATCCCACTTCTTTCTTTTCTTTTCGCTTGTTCACTCGAAAAGGGGATCTAGGGTTAGGGTTTCATTTTTCGATTCGATTCGGCTGATTCGGTTTTCTCTCCTTTTGATTTCTTTTCTTTTCTTTGATTTCTTTTCTGATATAGGGTCGGCTCTGTTCATCAAAAGCCGAAACATTTTCTTTTCCTCCTTTCTTTAACCCAGTTAGGATTAGGGTTCCAGTGCCGAGGGCCCTTCTTTTTCTTCTTCCCCGAGCTGTTTGCGCGGGTTAGGGTTAGGGTTCTTGAAATCCTAATCCTCTTTCTTTACTTCTTCTCTGATCCGAACACGGATTTGTTCTTTCTCCCCCGTGCGGTGGCGGTGGTGACCAGATTCCAGTGACATCCGCCACCCCCGGTCCCTTTTCTTTGCTTTTACCGGTTAGGGTTAGGATTACACAGAGGCAACCGGCTCTGGTACCATTGTTAGGATCGATGGTGTACCTCTGTGTGTAACCGTAGATCCGGTTAGCCTCCTTGACGTTTCTCTTTGCGGAACAGCAACGTAGACGCCGATGCCGCGGTGTAGTAGGAGTCGTCCAGCGCGGTGGAGAGAAGTCCAGTGGCGCCGGCGGAGAACCTGCAGGCGCGACGGTGGTGGTGGGGCACATTCCGTCGCTGGCAGCACGGTCTTTAGATCGGTTGAGGGTTACTGTAGGTGGGAGTGGCGGCTAACGGCGAACCTCGTAGTTCGAGCCCCGATCCCCACCTTCTCTATTTGTATGTGCTGTGCGACAGGGGCCCACCAACCAGTTAGGGTTGGGCTCCCCCGATCAGAGAGCAGAGGCAAGGGCCCAATGGACCTATTGGTGGAGATCAACTAACACTTTATTGTAACCAGAGGTCACATGACAAGAGTTTGATCTTTTACAAATTAACACCTTGGACCAGATTGAGCTATCTTTTGTCTACTCTGGAATGCTTGACTCACTGTGAAACTTGTGTAGGCTGCAGCAGCTCTCTGCTATGGTATGTTCACAAATACGACCATGTCATTCTCAAGCATGGTCGGACCAGCTGAGAAGGTGGAGTTCTATGGCCATCCAATCGTCTATATTGCTCCCTCTGTCTACGGGCATCCACATGTAAAAGCTCGCTAGTCATTAATACTAGTATTGAACACTCAAACAGCTTCCAGATTCCCAATCTTCAATTATCTCATCTTAATGTGTGTAGGCTCTGACTGTACATTACTAAAGCTATACGAACTCCATCAAGCTTGGCCTCGCAGTGGATGATGCTCAGTTTCCAGACTCTCATCAGCTTTTGGATGACTTTGCCGAGTCCCTCAGGCTCATCCGTCAGGCAGCTTCAACAAGATGACAGAAAGAAACAAGATCAACATCCCTTTTTTCAGTGGAATGTAGGTTGTTGGTGCAAAGAAATGCTGGACAACAACTTATCAGGAACTTGATGGCCTGGTTACCTGACTGGGGACTCCATAAACTTTCAAGAAATCACTAGAGAGACAGTGCAAATTGTAAAGTGCAAGACTAGTATGTATATCAATATCGTTCAATCAAATGTGGTGGAATCACAAAATGGATATTATACGAAGGAATTCAGCATCGACTATAGGTAGCTGTTCCATTAGAATGTAGCAATTCCACATATACATAAACATTTTAGCCTTAAAAAACGGAGCATGCACGTGGTATATAACAGAAGATAGCATATAAGATTCTACTACTCCCTCTGTTCGAAATTATAAATCGTTCTAGCTTTTCTAGATACATTGCTTTTGTTATGCACCTGGACTTACGTTATATCTAGATGCATAGCAAAACCAATGTTTCTATAAAAATCGGAACTACTTATAATTGGAATGGAGAGAGTACAAGTGTACAACATAACTGTTTCCACTAGATGCATCCAAGAACTCGACTTTCCTGAAGCTACAAAGACCACAAGCCTCACCGCAACAACCGTGCAACCTACCCAGGTTGACAGAGAAGTCTCATTTCCTGCCCTATTCTAATCTCACTTTGTCCCTCTGTAATACAAGTAATTAGTGATGACGTGTGATCAGTTTACAACATGATAATAATGTAGTGCTACGATTAATCATTCTATTGCTATTTGTGGTGCTAGAGGTAGCTGTAACTGATCTTGTACCCTAGCTCCTAGCTTTTCTCATGGGAACCTAGCTATGTTTATGCTTTGCTAACTGCTACACGTGCTTCCTAGTTTGGTAACATCAATAAGTTAGGATTACTGTTTGACGTGACACCTAATTCACCAAAGTGCATGTTCTTTAGCTTACCGCTTCCTTCATTACGGTTGATCAGGTCAACCATGGCTAGTAGCCTATTACTTGCTGTCTTCTCTACTCACAAATATGTTTGACTTAAATCAATTTTTTTTATAACTTTGATCACTCATATAAAATTTGTATAGATTGACATTGGAGTAGGTCTACCGCTAGCTAAAAGAAATTCCTCTACTGTCTTTGTGTTCCTTATGATATTAGGTTCTCCATTTAACGACTGTTGAGTGTTTTTGTTATGATAATCTGTCATTGGTGCAAGACCTGCGTATGTAGCTTAGCTCGCAAAACATCTGAACTTTGCTGTAAGTTCTGAGTTCCGGTGAGATAAAATATCTCTGAAATATAATAAACTGCATATGTGAAGGACTAGAATAAGATAGTGATGTTTATATGCAGCTAATATTATTAGGAATAGAGCTCAGAGAGCCATAGTGACTAGCTGTACACTTGCATATATCACTACTGTTTAAGTAGAAACTAAATAAAATGAATACTTTGGTTGTTGAGCTATTTGTACCGTCATAAGTTTCTGGACTTCTCTTTACATTCATTTCAAAACTATCTTTGTACTACCACTGTACACAACCTTGTCCAAACTGCTAACACAACTTTGATTAAGAGCCTAAAACCGTGGCTTCTAGGTGTTGCCACCACTGAGGCCATGTTTAGTTCCATTGAAATCCAAAATTTGGCACTATGCAAAAAGAAGATTTCCCGTCACATCAAACTTACGGTACATGCATAGAGTACTAAATGTTGACGAAATCAAAAACTAATTGCACAGTTTGGTTGTACTTTGCGAGACGAACATTTTGAGCCTAATTAGTCAACGATTGGACAATTATTACCAAATACAAACGAAACGCTACAGTGCGCTGCAGTATCTACGGTATTCCGGCGGCGCCGATTCTGGGCGCAACTAAACGCGGCCTGAGTTCATCAAAACAAGCATCTGCAGTTTCAGACTTTGGTTATCGATCCTTTCCCTTCACTCTTGTACAAACTTTCAGACTAGGTTGCAAGCAAACCATACAATGGGCATTCAAACTTCCATGGCTTAAGCTAGTGCTAAAACCTTTGGCTATCACAACAACATCACTGGAAAGGATAAACTCTCCTATCCTTCTTCTACACCAAGCATAGGAGCAGACGACTAGATAAACAATTAGGTAGTATAGTTAGGTTTCTCTGGTTTCTTGACCAAGATAAACAAGGCTACACGGTTGCTGCGAAATTCAGGGTGCCATTGGTCCTGCTCGATGCAAGCAATTAGGAAGTCCTCCATTGCTGCCTCCAAGAAGCACTCCAGCACAGCATCTATACAATCATATGCAAAACATTTATTTGGCGTCTGATGAGTCAGTCAGTCGATCCCATTCCAAAAGAAAACAGAGAACGCAAAGGAGAAGCCTTACCGTTGCGAAGCTCCCCAGCTAGAAGTATAGTGGTGTGTTTTCCTGAGAGCTGGTTGAGAGTGGCCAGGAGATCGTCCACCGCTTCCTCATTGTATATGACATCAGAGCCGAGCACTGAAAGAATTGAACAATCACCATTGATCACATCTATCGTATTCTATGAAGATGAACTGAATCAGAAGCAGACAGCAGTTTAATGTCCATGCAAGAAACAGGGGAAAAAGCAGAGGCGAACAGACCGAAATCGGGCAGTGGCTCCTTGAGCAATTCATGGTGAGGATCGTCGCCCCACACAAGCTCCGTGACCCGAGCGGAGCCCGGGACGTGGGGGTCATCGACATTAAGGGTGACGTTCTTCCTGAGCAGCTTGAGACGGTCGGGGAGGTCGGTGAGGACCACATGGGCGCCCAGCAGGGCGGCGGCGCACCCCACCAGGCCGCATCCGGACCCGAGGTCCACCGCGCGCGCGCCGCGGAGTAGCAGCCGCTGGGAGTCGACGGCGTGCTCGAGGAACTTGGCCAGCACGACGCCGCTGTCCCAGACGACCGCCCCCGTGACCCCCGGGGTGGACATGGAGGAGGGGGACTGCAGCAGGGACAGGCGCCGCCCGCAGGCGTCGAGCTCGAAGGCGTGCGCGGCCTGGCGGACCAGTGCGTTGTTTCGGTGCGCCTCGGGCTGCCCCAGGCCCCACAGCAGCATCGTCTCCCCCGCCGCGCTCTCCACCGGTCGCACCGCGCCGCCGTACGCGCCCATCCCGCTGCCCATCATCCGACTCGGCGGCGGCGGCGCTCTGTCCTCTCTGTGTCTGGAGATTGGAGAAACGTGAGTATTGGGCCGATCTGGGCCGACCGTGAGTTCGTCCAAGGCCCAGCGGGAATGGCTCCTCCTCCTCCTTCCTCGATACGGTTCAAGCTGGCCCCACCACCGGCCCTGTGCGAATGCGATGCCACCCATCCCGCTCCCCCGCCGCCCCACCTCGACTGGGGACGCAATTCAAAAGGCGGCAGGCGCTCCTCATCGTTAGCAACGGCTAATTAAGCCCACGCAAAACAGACCCTCTTCCTCCTCAGCGGCCCCGCCTCGTCGTCGTCATCCCCTACACGGCTACACCCGACCAAGGAGGAACAACGAAGGGGAAGCACTGTTGCTCTCGGAGACAGAGGACTATGGAAGCAGAAGCAGCAGCAGCAGCAGCCACCGCTGCCCCGTGCCTCCCCTCTCACTCTCCGAGGGTCAGGGCCGCTCCGGTCAGAGTGGTCGCGAGGATTTGCCCCGGCGGAGACCCCGCTGGTTCCTTCCAGGTCGCCGCCCGCGTCCCCGATCCGGCCAATTCCTCCTCCGCTTCGGTCTCCTTCATCCCCGTCATCAAGGAGGCCGCTCCCTCTGGGTACGTTTGATTACATTTCCTCCACCTTGCTCCTTGCCGATTATTTAAGATCCGGTCGATCTCGTCAACTAAGCTGGCGTATTTTGGTCTGCAGAAGCATGACTCCCCACAAGCATCGCGAGTACAAACTCGATTGGTGCTATCTCAACGACAATTCGGACACAGACATCTTCCAGAATGAGGTTAAACACCTCGTGGATAACATATTTTGCGGCGACGGACGCAACCACGCATGTGTAATCACTTGCGGTTCCATTGCCAAAACCCACCTCGTTATGGTATGTTTCTTTCATTTCTGATCAGATGTCTACTCTGAAAATTATAAGAACTGCATATTTTAACTGCCTTTCTGGCTTCAACCAAGTTCACTCATGATTGAAATTCTGATGCAGGGGTCCGAGGATCATCCTGGCTTGCTTACCATGGCCATGGAGCGAATCCTTGACTGCACAAAACCCATCAGGGCAACCGTCAGCCTTTCCTCTTATCAGGTGCTTCAAGACAGCCATGTATTTGATATTTTGGAGCCCAAGGACAGCGAGATCCTTGTGCGAGAGGATGCCGATGGAAGGACTCACCTCAAGGGCCTCTCCAAGGTACCCTATTTGCTTTTTTTTTCTTTCTAAATTTATGTTCCTGTCTTCCTATTTTCTCAACCACCCGTTTCTCTGAAATTAATCACTTAATGCAGGTTGGAATTAATTCAATTCAGGAGTTTCAGAATTTGTGTTATGGGAGCGACAAGCTCCAAAATCCCACCAAAGTTTCCAACCAAGCTAGAGGACACCGTGGTTTTATTATTTTCATTTCTAAAATTGATCAGAATGGTAGAGAATGTTCTGTAGCAAATATGCATTTTCTTGAGTTGGCAGGTATGTACTTTTCATGCGTGAACTGTAGTTTTATATACTATCTTTTATCACTAATTTAGTTTTTGTTCCCTGATTTTCATTAGGCTATATCAATAACAAGCAAAAGAGCCATGGTGGAGGATTTGCTCAACCAAATTCTAAGAAGTCCTTATATGCCGTGATGGATGTTGTGCAAGCTCTAAACAGCCACCAGAGCTTCATACCCTATAGGAAGAGCAAAGTAACTCATATTTTGCAAGATTCTTTATGCAAGACAAGTGATGCTTTATTAATAGCATGTTTGGTAAGGGTACTTGGCATCGACATTTTGTATGATGTATTTCTCTTAGTAGATTTTTAAGATAAATATCAAGGATAATAAATGACTTCATGTACCATAAATTAAATGGTTGCATTGTTTTACTTTTATTGTTAAACTTCTATTGGTTTTGAAAAAAAAAAGTTCTATAAAATGGAAGGTGGTTTAATAATATTGCTTAGCTGCATGTTTCTTATATTAAAATAAAATATATGAGTACATGTTCTAGTGCCTTCGGTTAAAACTCAAAAGTTAGTGTATCCATGGAAGTCTTAGAAAAAGAATGAGGCTAGTTAAAACTTTTGTTATCACTATTCTCTGTTTCCTTATGTTGCTATTATTTGACAGAATATGCATTTCTAAATTTAGCTTCGGCTATTTGTTATAACCTTCTCTATGTTACCTTACCATACTTGTTGGAATTGATACATTGCTACTATTACCATGCCAATCTAATGCTATGCATTCTTAGTGTAGGATGAAGTCTCCTGCCAAGATGCAGTCTCTACTGTAAGCTTAGCTTCGCGCTCAAGCCAAGTGGTCAATGAACAGTGCTACAACTTATCCGTAAGCACAAAAGGTTGTTCAAAGTCAAATGTAAACCTTTCAGGAAACACTAAGAATTTGTCAACGTCATTGTTGCCTTCTATCCAACAACGAAGTTCTATAGTGGAGAAGTCCGACAAAACTCAATTTAATAACAGTGCAGTAAAAGCAACTCGAGCTCTCAATGCCAATAAGAGGTCACAGTCTGATTTTGGATTTACTGCATTTGATACTAGCATTTTGTCAGCATTTGAAACTAATGGTGGTTTTGGTGTTATTCAGATATGAAACAAGCACACATTCAGCGAAAAAAGCTGTAAACTTAGTCTCTGCTTCAACTAATTTGAAAGACTCTGGTGCTAAGTCTATCCTGAGAGGAAGGTAACACTCTATTGATTAAGTCATGATTATCTCAATGCTTTCCACAATACCACTAAAATTGATCTTTCGTTGTCCAGGAATTTGCTTTTTCCAACTACTAGTTCATCAAAGGTACATAACTAAACTAGTTTCATCTAATCCTCTCGCATAGTATGTAGGCGAAATGGGTACTAAAGTTGTCATTCTTATGTTACTAACTAATCCAAGTTGTAAATTATGAACTATGTAGGAAGATAAGAAAGATTTGGTGACAACTGCGGTAGTGAGACCTAAGGTTTGTATACTTAGCACCTTATATGTACACTTGTCATTGATCATTAGTGAACATATTTATATATTAGTTTTCTGTGCAATTTCATAGGAGGTATTGACATCAATTTGCATGGAAATCCAAGCCCTCCCACCAATTGAGGTACTTTAACTTCTATTGCTATTGCAAGTAGATGCTAGTCTTAAAACTAATTATTGATTGGAGCAATATGCAGGAGAAACGTGTCGACACAAAAAACAATGTAATATCATGTGAAATGCAAGAAGTAGTGCCTTGCAGCATGAAAGAAGTAGTACCAAGTGATGTGAAAGAAGAGGTATACAACCCTTGAAAATAGGCAAATAGATGATATTTTGGTGTTTGCAATCCCAATCTGAATATCATTAGCATGTATACTTTTTGTTCCTCTATTCAGGATCATTCCTCTTCAGCAGAGAACTTGTATGCTGACTTAGGCATGACATGCTCATCTAATGCAGCTGGTATAACATCTTTTAACTCGCTCTATTTCTAAAGGTTAATTAAGAAATGGTAGTGTTCTCAATTGCCTTCATTTTCCAGATAAATCTAATGAGAAAACCTCAGCCAACATTATCCAATCCTCTCCAAAGATAAGTGACCAACTGAGAGAGATATCAAACTCATTGAAGCTTCTCAGTACTATGCCATCGAGCATAGTAAAACAAAAAACAGATATAGTTCATGCCAAACCCTTTGACATAGTTGAAGCAGAACCAAAAACTCCTGAGATCCACTTAAAAGTTGGGCACGTTGAAGATCCACAAGAGTCACTCAAGGCTCACAGCACAGGGTTTAAGGTCAACTATTTTGAACTCATTACACACAATCAGTATTGTACCATTAGTTTTGGTGATAAATCATTTATTCTTTTTTCCTTCACAAAAGCAGAAATCCTTGGCTAAAGAGTGTTTGTCTTTTATAAACAGCGCTAGTAAGTAAGTATTATCAGTAACATATTATTTATTGTTGAATTGACTTTATTTATGTTTTTCTAATGTATGTTTCCATATCAATTGCAGGGAGCAGTTAAAAAGTTTAAAGGTGCTCAGAATCTTAAAGATTATGCCCTCACTCTAAACGCAAATGATTACTTATGTCTTGCTAACATGTTGTTGATGTTGTAGGGTATTGGAGAGAAAAGAGCAAATTTTATACTTGAGCTTCGAGAGGAGTCACCAGAGCCATTGAAAGAGGTAAACTTTCTATATCGAATGCTTAAGAAGTTAAAATTAAATAATATAAAGCGGAGAATATCATCTAAACTGATTTTACCCTTCCAGATTGATGATCTTAGAAGCATCATCGGGATGAGCAAAAGAGAGGTAACTCTAGATCTATGTGTTTTGTTTCGTTATTCTAATAAGTACAATCAAATTATCCAAATGCAAAAAAAAATGCTACACCATCACTGGAGAATGGAGATAGTGCATATCTATTACTCAAATGCACATTTTAGGTGATTTTAGCACACATGGTAGAAAGGTTACTTACAGTTGCTACCTTCTATTTATTTCTGTTTCGTTCAGATCAATAAGATGGTGTCAGAGATGGTTTTGGACTCGGAGATGGACTAGGAAGGGTTCCGTTGATTTCTTCCGCCTAGGAAACGAGGCCATAGTTCTAAGACTGTCTCCAATAGATGATTCATATGGACATCCAAACTCAAAATGGGTAGCAGGAGACCTAAAATCAGCCTACAACAGAGTACCTATACGGGAGATTCATTTTGAGTTGCCTGAGAGGCATAACACAAATATGGGTATCTTCTCACCTGGAAACCCATTTGCAAAAAGGATTCTCTTTTGGGTTCTGTTGTTGGAGAAGATGTCGAATGGGTATCGAACCTTTTGGCTGTAGCGCTACCCAAACGTTAAATGGATCTTGTATTTTGGGTGTTGTTGTTGGAGATAGTCTAAATAGTCCCAATTTAAATATTGATGCTTGTTGGTAGCGGATTGCTGCAGAATCCAAATGCTCTCGGGTGTTGCTTGTGAGAATAACCAGATGTTTTGTTTAAAAAAAAGAATAATCAGGGATGTATTTGTTTCTTACACGTCTTGTGGAGGTATAAGTTTTATACATGACGTGTAATGTAAATACGAGCAAAGATTTGGAACGCTTTCAGGTTTGCTGTATCAGAAGCTATTATATTAGTTACCCTGTTATATTGTCACTGGTTAGTACCTAGTGTGCCGAAGACGCCCAGTTCAATCTAACACTTTGATAGAACTGTGAGAACAAATTCAGTTTTGCAGTTGCAGTTGCAGCACCTGAAGGAACTACCGCTAAGGCGCTAACACAGTCCCTGCTCACAACAGTCTCTACTATTCTAGTGTCTCCGCTACCCTGACATTACTGATTCCGTCGATCAACAGCTGAGGCGAGAATCAGAATCCTGTCTCAGCAAGGATCTCAGGTAGCCGGTCAGGTTCACATCACCAGTTTTCCCTTTCCCGTCCTCTCCAAGAAAGTTGCCCCGTACATCGTTCTGTACTTTTACTTCACGAAAAATTTTCACAGCTGATGACCTGAGCTGAAGCAACGTAGGCACGTTCGCTTGAAATTATCAACCGGCTTATTAGTTTAGTATTTTTCTCTCATAATAAATCAGCTTCAGCTGGCTTATCAGTCGACTTTAATACCAGTCGAACAAGATCTGTTTAGAATGCGGAATTTTTTTTTATTCCTACGTTTTTCCTATGAAATTGAGCCAATTCCTGTGAAATTCCACGAGAAATTCCTGCGTTCCGGCCCTGAACTTCCACTACACACTTGTCATTCCGACACTCTCAGTCCTCACTTCTCGAAAGCCACAGGATTTTGTAGCAGTACGCGAGTGGGTGCACGAGTGCTCTTTTTCCCCCTTTGCTTTCGCCGCTTTTGCACTCCACCGGACCAGAGCACCACCACTTGAATCGCTTCCAGATCTGGAGCGCATGACACTGTGACACAGACACGGCCGAGAGGGACACCCAACCCAGCGGCGGCAGCGGCACCAACCTTTGCTTCACTGACACCAATCATAAGATGGCTGGGCTCCCAGCTGCAGTGACACACACACCACTGACCACCCACCCTCTCTGAGCCTGAGCTGAGCTGAGCTGAGCTGAGATCCCCCAATCCCCAACCCAACGCAAAAAAAGGCGAGGATAAATTTTTTTTTGCACCACCAACTGACCGCAACATCCCAACTCCCTCAGTCCCTCCCTAAACTCACAAGCAACCTGCGGCTGAGCTCTGCAGTCTGCACCCGTTGCCGCCGCTGCTGCAGGCATTGTCGGCGAGCTAGAATGGGTGGCATGGCGGCGTGGGTGGCGGCGACGCTGCTCGTCGTCCTTGGCGTGGCGTCGGTGGCGACGGCGCAGTTGGAGACCTGCAACGGCGACCTCCCGCCCATGCTCGCCGCCAACTACTCCGGACTGGCCTGCCAGCCGGTCTGGAACAACTTCGTGCTCCGGGTACGTATGCTGTTTCTCTTCCCGCCGCTTCTGCGTACGCCTATGGTTGGGGTCAGGTGGATAACTGAGCTGCTCTAGTGTTCTTGGAACTTGGAAGCTCTGGCCATCTATATCGTGGTTGATGCTGTTCAGTGCAGTGTCAATTGTTGGTTAGGTTTGGTTTCTGGACTTGAGAAGTTGAGATCTCTCAAGAACAGGGGTGGGTGGATCTTGTCTACAGGCGAGATTGGCACACTGAAATTCAGAGGCTCTGTTCACGCTGTTGCTTACTGAACTTTCAGCAGATCAAAGGCTTCCAGCGGCAGTAGTAAACTGATAGCTGATAAGGGATTTCTAGTCTAGCTAATAGCGATACAATTCTCGCAATCTGCAATTTTTTCGTGCAAAATTCTTAGGATTAGAGTTCATTTTGGTAGTAGTAGCAGTAGCTGAGCCAATAGAGCTGAAAGCGTACAGTTCGGATAAAGGGGACCAACAGGCAACATGCAATGCATTATTGAACTACCTATCAAGAAAAAAGAGAGTAATGCAATAGTAAATTCTTCAGTTGTAGCTAGTAGCAGCATTATATTTCTACTCCGGATCTTTAGCATACAGTGCAGCTGGATGCAGCATTTCTGAATTCTGACGTATTGCATATTTGCATTGCAGTACCACCAGGACAAGAACAACGTGCTGCGGATCGTGCTGTCGACGCTGTACAGCACGGGGTGGGTGGGCATGGGTTTCTCCAGGGACGGCCTGATGATCGGCTCCAGCGCCATGGTGGGGTGGATCGGCAAGAAGGGGCTCCCCCACATCCGGCAGTTCGCGCTGCGCGGCAAGAGCAGCTCCAAGGTGGTCGTGGACCGCGGCTTCCTCGTCTCCAACGACCACGACCACACCGTCGTGGTGCAGCAGGCCAAGATCTACCTCGCCTTCCAGCTCAGGTTCTCCTACCGCCTCACCCACCAGCACATCATCATGGCCTTCGGCAACAGCATCCCCGTCAAGAACAAGCTCACCAGGCACCAGGACAAGACCTCCTTCACCTTCGATTTCACCACCGGTACGTCCTCCTCCTGTTCTTGGTAAATGGAAAAGACTTTGCATTCAGTTCAGAGTCATGGTGCACTTAGCTGAACCACTTGCAAGTGGAGAATAAGAAATGCTTGCGCTTGTTCGCTCGGTCGTATTTGGCTTATAAGCCATGGCTTATCAGCCAACGCACAGTATTTTTCTCTCACGCCAAACCAGTCAACGATACTTTCAGCCATGGCTTATCAGCCAAACGAGCTCAAACGAACAAGCAGTCGTGTGTGTTGGTTGGCCAAAAAAAAAGGTTTTGTTTCTTCAAGCTTCAGCCTTCAGCTGATGACACTTTTAGTTGCCAGAGACCGACATCTGTTGACATCCAAAAGCACTCGAGCCACCTGCTCGTTGCAATTTGCATGGCTTCATCGTCTACCGTCTGTGTGATCGATCGGATCCCTATGCTATGCGCCTATGCAGGCAGAGCTTCGGTGGACGGGTCGTTCCCCTACGGCCTGCGTCGCGCGCACGGCGCGCTGAACGTGTTCGCGTGGGGCGTGCTGATGCCCATCGGCGCCATCCTGGCGCGCTACTTCCGGCGGATGGACCCGCTGTGGTTCTACCTCCACGTCGGCGTCCAGTTCGTGGGCTTCATCATCGGCCTCGCCGGCGTCGTCGCCGGGGTGGCGCTGTACAACAAGATCCAGGCCGACATCCCCGCGCACAGGGGGCTCGGCATCTTCGTCCTCTTCCTCGGCATCCTGCAGATCCTGGCCTTCTTCCTGCGGCCCAACGCCGACTCCAAGTACCGCAAGTACTGGAACTGGTACCACCACTGGGCGGGGAGGCTCGCGCTCTTCTTCGCCGCCGTCAACATCGTGCTCGGCATCCACGTCGGCGGCGCCGACAACTCGTGGAAGATCGGCTACGGGTTTAACCTCTCCGTCATCCTCGTCGCCGTCATTGCGCTCGAGTTCATGCTGTGGACCAGGTGGTCAAGAACAGCACCTCCACCCCGACGTACTAGAAACCTGCTGCGTGTTGTCGTGGTGGCGGCGACGCGATCGAGCCCCTAATTTTATTTTATTTTTCTTGTTCTTTTTCCAGGGTCGGATGATGTTGTGTTTCCCTGACCTTGTTTTTTTTGTTGGTGCATGAATTGTTCGGAACTGCGATCGTGTCAGTGTGTGAGTTTAGGCAAGTGCAATGGCACTGCCCATAGTTGTGCACGCCTGGTGCTATAGTGGTCCTATATGATTCTTTATTTCTCGAGGCATGTTACAGCAGTGTATGATAATTTGAACGAGAATAACGTGCCCATAGCTTCACCCATTTGTGTGACGCCTGGTCTGGTGGGCCTCTTTGCACTATGGCTAAAAACTGTGATTTTGTCTCTCTAGAAATTAATTATGAACTAATAAAATTAGTTTTTTTAGACTTCACCGACTCTAATTTTTCGGCATACTATAACAAAGAACTGTGTCAAACGAGACTTTCCTTCACTGTAGTGAGAAATAAACTAGACCGCTCACCCATTGGAGCCCTACACTGCAGAAAATTAACCGAGTCAACCCCCCAACCCACTCACAACAACCCATCGCGTTAGCCTACCTCATTCATGGGATACCGGCCCATTACAAACGTACAGGCACAACCAGGGATAGCAACGGATACGTACCTGATATGGGTAGAAAATTTATGGGGTACTATCATCCCACATCCACATCCGCCAGGTGAAGATTTATCGGTTGGGCTTATAGATGGCCAACGGGCCGGCCCGACATAGGCCCGTGCCAGCACGGCACGCTGTGCCTCCTGGGCCATGCCTCACAGGGCCATGGGCCTGGCCTTCGGCTCAGGCACAGCACTATAGGCTGATTTCCGTGCCGGGCCGGCCCGCGAGGCACGACCAATTTTACAGGCCGTGCCAGCCCGGGGCCCACTGGCTGCCGACAGAGAGAGAGAGGGGAAGGGGGTCGCCACCGCTCGCCGCCGAGGAGATCGACGCCGGATCCGGAGGAGGCCAGCGCGCTCGCCACCAAGGAGGCTAACGCCCTCGAAGCTGGATCCGGAGGAGCCGCTCGAGGCCAGCCACCACGCTCGTCGTCCCTGGATCCGGTCGCGCCCGCCCTCGATCCGCCGCCGGGGACGCCACCACCCTAGATCCACCGCCGGAGGTTGAGCACGCCTTAGATCCGCCGCTAGGGGATGCCACCACCCTTGATCCGCTGTCGAAGGACGGGCATGCCCTGCTTCCGTCACCAGTGAGCGTGCCCACCCTGGATCCGCTGCCGGGGAACGCCACACACCTCCTCGCGCGTGGATCTCGTCGTCCTCCGCCTCCTCGCGTCGGATCTCGTGAAGCCGCCGGATCCGGATCTCGTCGAGGCTACGAGCTCGGTGGATGTGCCGCCTGCTCCTGGCCGCACCGCCGCCCCGTCGGGAGGAGGCGATGGAGCTAGAGCGGATCGGGAGCCAGTGCCGCGCGGTGCGGTCCCGATCGATAGAGCTGGAGGAGGGGCAGTAGGGGGCGAGGGGCAGCACGGGAGCGCGGTGGCGCCGCAGAGGAGTGAGTGCGGCGTGGGGAGGGGACTGCGTGGGGCGGCGGGGAGGGGGAGGGGAAGCGAGTTAGGGTTCAGGGCCGCGTCGCCCGCGTGGGGCTGCGCGGGGGGGAGGAGGGGGAAGGGAATCGGGGGTGGCCGCCTGGCCGGGTGGGAACTGGGAGCGTGGGCGGTGGGGCTGCGGCGCTGCGTGGGCCGCGGGTAGGAGGCTGCAGCCTGCGGCAGACGAGTAGCCCGGGCCACTAGCGGGCCGCCTGTTCTATAGCAGGCCGCGCCGTGTCGGCCCACGTGCCTGGGGTAAGTCCCAGGCACGGCCTGCTCCTCCGTGTCGGGCCAGCCCGGGCTCGCTAGCCGCCGGGCCGGGCCATGCTTGGGTCGGGCCAAAAAAAGGGCCTTGGGCCGGCCGACGGGCTCGGGCTGCATGGCCAACTATAGTTGGGCTATCCATACTCGGATATGGGTAGAAAAGTCTACCCATTCTCGCACCCGTGCGGGTAATGCTACCCAATAGATAACTTGAGCACATAGGAAACTAGCATTCAACAAATTAGACAGTTAGGGCGTCCGCTACGTAGATAGGGATCGGAGTTTGGTTCGGAGCTGATGTAGTGGAGAGAGAACGTCAAAAACTAACGTTCCGTTCGCTTAGTTTATAAGTCGTACTTTTTCAGTCAACGAACAGTATTTTTCCCTCACAATAAATCAGCTAGCAGTATTTTCAGCCATGACTTATCAGCGGCGGGCAAATCACTAGGGACTGTTTCGTCGCTTAGCTAGTAGCGCATGAATGGAGAAAAGTGAGCCTGGCAGTGGTCCTGTGTTGCTCTTCACCACCTGTATGACCGCTGAACAATGCTGGGAAGAGATTAAAAAAAGTAGAACAATTGGACCCACCCCCTTTGGAAAATGTGCACCATTGGACGGACGGACCTTTCTACTAGCTCTTATGCTGACGTGGATGCAAAATAGCCAGCATGATAGCTATATTGTTGCGGACAAGCCTAGTTTTAGTGGAAGTTTCACGTGAGTTTTATTTGTATTAAATAGGTTGTTATATAGGCATTGTTGATGTCATATGACAGTGTATTTAAGAAGAGAAAAAAAAAATTCTTGTAAATGAAACTCTCGGTACGATTACCAACTCTCTATAAGTCTTGAAATTAAATACCTATAAAACCATACATTAAAACCATTCATTGAGAATGGGTGTTTTTGTCTAAGTTTTATTTTATTTCATATAACGTGACAACGCTGTAAAATTCGCCACATAGACTGGCCTTAGCAATCAGTACATGACGAGCGCATTAAGTAATTCAGATCCCCAAATGACCAACTGCAGTAGTATGCTAGCACCTAGCAGGGTGTAGAGTAGGAGGCGAGCGCGTGGGCGGTGGGCAGAGCGTGGACCGCGGACTTGGGTACTCCGTCAAATTGTTACCGGGTATAAGGCCACTCGGATTTCAGGCACCAATTGTCATCTCTAGTCACAGCCTCACCTCGTCACATTGTCATCTCTAGTCACGGCCTCATCTCGTCACATCAGCAGCCTACGTGCTCCTCCTTCGCTACTCGGTCCCAACAGCGGTTTTCCACGTTTCCAACACGGGGTGAGCGACCGCAGCCCGCACAATCCGCAAGTAAGCAACCAGGCACGGCACGACGCGCGCGGAGGGAGACGCAGATCGACGCCACCGAGTCGGCGGGTACTGACGCGGGCGTGCGTGCCCTCGCGTTTTTCTCTCAGGCCACGTACCGGGCCCCCGCGGCAGACGCTGTCGACCACGACGACGACGCTGCTAGCCTGCTAGTACTATACTCCCGTCGCTGTCAGCGCGGGCGTCACCGGGAGCTTCCGAGCCTGGCGTCACGTCATCAGGCAGGGCGTTTGGATTTCCGTCGACCACGACCGCCCGTCTCGAGGCGGCCGCGCCCGGCAACACGATGGATGGATCGATGCCGTATCCGGAAGACGTGCTGCGGATCGGAAAGCGACCGCAGGGTGGTGACTACTTTGAGCCACGGCACACGGGCGACGACCGGCGGCACGACACCAACGCCGACCCTTGCACTTGCATAGGCGATATATACTAGCTATCTGATCGAGTCGAGATGATTGGCCCGACTCCGCACGGGGAAATGGGCGAAACGAGAGTGGCCACGTGACGTAGGTGTCGGCCGGTGTCGTTGTTGGCGAAATCCGTCTGCGCTGCTAGCTAGGGCCACGTTTAGTTCATCCACGATTCAAACTTTGGCACTATGCAAAAAGAAGATTCATCGTCATATCAAATTTACGGTACATGTATGGAGTATTAAATGTTGACGAAATCAAAAACTAATTACACAGTTTGGTTGTACTTTGCGAGACAAACGTTTTGAGCCAAATTAATCAACGATTGGACGATTATTACCAAATAAAAATAAAATTCTACATTGCGCTACAGTGCTACCGAATTCAGGCAGCGCCGAATCCGGCCGGAACTAAACGTGGCCTTGGTTGGCTCTGAGCTACAACTACAGTCTTCTGGTGAGTTGTGAGTTTGTGACGCCCAACTACAGACTTCCAGCAGGCTGCACGCTAGAAAAATAGTATATCCCACCATTTAAAGAAACTAAAAAAAAGTTATATATATCCCAAATGCTAACACAAGGGAAAGAAATGAAGTCATCACATCTAATCTTAAGGCTACTGGCTACATGGTAACTGATGCTATCTAGTGTTGTCCCTTAAAAAAATTGAGTATCTTATAGGTATGAGCATGATGGATAGATGACTCACATTCGCCTTTGGGTCATTGGGGATTATTTCAGTTGTTCATAATACAATATAACAAAACAAAACAGCGGTCTGAAGCATACATATATACTAGGGTACCACCTCGTCACCATAGAGCTACACAACAATATAACCTTAAGCTTAGAGATGACGACTTCCTTTATCCCATATATAATTCCAAAAAACTAAAAAAATATGTAAGTCATACCTGAAATGCCATAAATAAAGGAAGTTGTCGTCTCTAAGCTTAAGGCTGCATATAATAACGGATGATATTATAAACTTGTCTTTAGGGGCATTAGAGATTAGTTCAGTTGTTGCTAATATACCCGAGTAGACAATATACAAATGTTCTTGTAAATTTTGGCTATGGTTGAATTGAATGCAGCTAAGAGAAATTCCACAGTTTTCAAACGGCTCTCCCATTAGTTTTTCTTTTGTCTCCAAAAAACTAGCCATTTTATGGCGTTTCACAAATATTACTGCCAACGGAGGCTGTAGTTGTAGCAAGTCTGTAACCATGGTTTTTCTTTTCTCCCTCTTGAGACGGGTTTTAATTTTGGTCTTGGCAGTTGATAAGCAACTGCAAAAATAGCCCACAGATATATGATGCATTGAAGTACGACCACATCACCATAGAGCTACGCCCGCAACAATGGTTAGCGACTACATGTGACATGGCTACATGGGCATATTGGTCATGTGGTCTAAAGGTGAAATGCTTTTCTGCTGATTTAAAGTA